AGGCTCGAATGATTTATGCAAAACAGGTTGAAAACCTGATAGCGTCATATAAATGTGATATTATTGCTATTTTTACTCATCTCCCGCCCCTACCCCACCCTGGGCCACAGGTTCTAACAGACAGTGGTTGGAAAGGAGAAAAAGAGAGAGAGAGAGAGTGTGTGAGTGAGTGTGCGGTGGGCAGGAGGTGGCATCCTTTCTGTCCTCCCTCTAGGGTCTGTCCTAAAGGAAGGAGTCGGCAATGGAGTAAGTCTTCGAATAAGACAGTGGAGCCCAGTTCCCGCGCCGACCTTGGGGCAACATTGCCACCTCGTGGCCAGTGGCAGGAAGGCAGAACTGGAAAAAGCTTGCAACCTCCATTTTTTTTTTTTCACATCAACAGAATTATTCTCAAAAATCACAGAATTTTAAAACATAGAATGGCGGAGCTGAAGAGGATCTTACTTACAATAAAGAATGCTAAGGTTGGAAGGGACTTGAAAATATAGAGTATCACAGCTTAAAGGGCCAGCAGGGCCAGAAGAGACCTTACACCATAAAATGTCAGAGTGGGAAGTTCCTTAGAACAGAATATTAGGCCTAGATGAGACCTTAGAACAGAAAAGGTCAAAACTGGAAGGCATCTTAGAACAAAGAATTCCAGTGCTGAAAGAGACCTTAGAAGAGAGAATATCAAAACCGCAATGGACCTTAGAGAACAAAATGTGAGAGCCGAAAGGGACATAATTTTTTTAAATAAAGAAAAAATAAAAACCCAATATATCAACTAATTATGAGAATATATGCAATGTTACATACTCATAGCCCCCTTAATTCTTGGGACTCTTTTCTTTTTTTTTTTTTTTTTTTTGAGGCAATTGGGGTTAAGTGACTTGCCCAGGGTCACACAACTACTGTTTGAGATTAGATTTGAACTCAGGTCCTCCCTCTCCAGAGCCAATGCTCTAACCACTGCACTACCTAGCTGCCCCTAAAAGGGACTTTAGAACATAGGATATTAGAAGTGAGGGGAGCCTTGGGGAGATCATTTAACCTAATTTCCTCAGATGGGCTATGAAATGGCTGCCACAGGCCCAGGCAACCCCATCTCCACTCCTTCCTGGAGGTGGCAAATGTAAGCTTGTAGAACCCAGAAATGGGAATCCTCCAAGACCCTTTCTTTGGTAAACTCAGACTGGCAAGATACAGTGGCTCACTGTCCTCCCTCCAGACAGACTGCCATGACAGCAGAGGGAGGCCAGCCATAAATGCAAACACCTTACTGCAGCGATCACCTGGGGATTCACAGACTATGGGACCTGAAAATCACCTTACAACAAAAAATGTCAGAGCTGGAAGGGGCCTTAGAACATGGAATGTCAGAGCCGGGAGGGGCCTTAGAACATACCATGTTACAGCTGAATGGGAGGCAATTTCCAACGAGAATACTTTAGCCCAAGTCACTCACTTCAAAGATGGGGAAAAAAGAAGCCCAGAAAGGTTATTTAAATAGAGAGAGAAGCGGTGTGACCCAGGGTGGCAGTTCTTAAGCACTAGAACCCAGCTCTGCCTCCCTCTAACCCCGACTTCTCCTGTTAGGCAGAGGCTGAAGAAATAACTGTAGCCCCAAGGGGAGTACCCAAAGCCAGCCACGCCCACTCCTAGACCCCGCCACTACAGGCTGTCCAGGGGCTCAGGCTCCTCCTGGGCTCTTCTCACCAGAGCCTCTGGTGAAAGGGACTGAGGCCAGATTCCTGGCTCCAGGGTCCAGGCCCATTGCCCTCTAGGGGACTCTGTGTGGGAGGGCAAAGAGGGGATGGCATATGGCAGTCTTCTAACAGAAGCAAAGGGTCTCTTTTCCCCTCCAGCTTCCTGGGCTCTAACACTTACCGGCTAGGTGATCCTGGGCAAGTCAGCCTCTGACGCTGTGGTTTCCTCATCTGTACAATGGACATACTGAACACAAGGTAGTTAGCATCAAGCACTATAGAAACGGAAACAGTTATTTTTATGGGTTTGGGGTGGACAGAAAAGGAACAGGCCACAAAAGGATCCTAATTACCTTTCACTTTCATTGGTAAAATTTATCGCTGTCCATACCTGGCTGTCTACAATGGTCCACAAAACCTCAAAGGAGCTGTCTTGAGCCAGATCCAGATTCTCCAAGGTGGCAATGCCCCAGGGCCCCAGACACTGATGTGCCATGGATAACATGGACCTTCACTCCCATGCTGAAGTCATCCACTAAAAGGGTCACTTTCACTGTTTGTGTTGGCAGCACTTGTCACAGACGTGGGGCTGTTTAGGGGGACAACGTGCCAAGTCAAGGAACAGGATGCCTGTATTTCAGACACAGGGCCAGTGGCTAGTGGAGGCTCCCTGAAGGACGACCACAGGGCCTGAGGTCTGTAAGGAGCCAGCACCTCAGGTCTCCAGGATCTGCCTCGTGGGGTGCCTAATTCTAATTGTTAGGGGCACAGACCTTTCAGTCCTCAGATTTAGGACCACGGACTACAGCTCTTCTTCCAACCACTCGAATGATGGACAGCTCTCTGCCCTCCAACAACTACAGCAGCCTCCACTTCTCCACCCTGGTCTCATTAATCAGCTTTGACTACTTGACTCTGCTGAATGATTCAGAAGAACTCAGCTCCCTCACCAGGCCCTATGAAGTCATGGCCAATTTAGCCAGTATGATCCAAGCCTCAGACTCGGGATTCAAACAGTCCATGATCTCAATCCCTGGGCCCACAGCCCCAAGCCAGTTCAGGGGCCTGGCAAGGGGCTAATGAGCAGCAGCACCACAGTCACCTTCAGGAAGGGAAAGGCCATCCCCCCCAGGCCAACTGCTCCAGAGCAGAACCCGGGCCTGGGAGTTAGAACAAAAAGGCAGCTGCAGGGGAAGTGGCTAATGAGCACTTCTGGGAGCCATTCAGCTTAGAATACATGGAAATTTATTTCATTCAAAATGGATGTTAACGCCATCTAATTAGAAAGAAAAGGCAATCTTCCCCTTCTGGGTTTCTGCAAAGGCAATCCTGACACCTTGCAGAGGAGCTAGCCTGAGGGAAGTCACGTCTGATTTCCAAGACTAGCCCGCCAAGCACACAAGGACCTTAAAATACCTCTGCCTCACATCGAAGGCCCCCAATTCCAGAACTCTCCTCGCCTCATCTACTCAGGTACTCCATGCCCTGGCCAGGCTAATCGGTTTGCCTGTCCCTGCAGCGTGCTTCAATACCTACAGACTCCAGGTCAGCTATTTTCCCACACCTCCACCCTGCTCCAGACCCCAAGGCTGAAGTATTCTAACTACAGTGCAGTGGAAGGGGTATGGGGTGGAAAAGGTGGTGGCACGGACATGCTGTCAGGGTATCCAGAGTCTGAATTAGGGGGGAGAGGCAGCATGGTAAGCCAACAAACTCCAAAACCCAAGTCAATTTATTCAGAGGAGGTGTGCAGAGCGCCAACATCCGAGGCGACCGTATATGAGGGAATTCATCTCTGCAGTTGTAGACAAGGGCTCAGGCAAGGTTAGAGTTGGCTCAACCCAGGATTCCCAGGCCTCACCTGGGAATGTGCCAGTAAAGTCACAGATGGGAGGACTGACCTTCCTGGCCTCAACGCACCCCCCCGGGGTGTGTTCATATACCAACCCTCCCTCCTCACCACCAAACTAATCCTAATCTCAAAATCCAAACCCCACTGCCTCCAGGAAGCCTTCCAGCATTGACACCTTCAGTAAGTTTGTGCCACCTCTTTTATTGGTTCCATGAAAACCCATTAAGCCGAGGAGCCGGGAAGAGGGTGCCCAATTAGGTCTACACTGTTATAAGTATTAAGAAGGCCTAGTGGTTGACAGGTGTGAAGAGTGAGGTTCTGAGTGGATTCTGGTTACTATGTGTTATTAACCATAGGCTCCTGCAAAAGAACACTGGTTGAGGCACTCTTATTTAGGGTACATTCATACTTTGCTGTGCAACAAACCTCCATTAAACCAGAAAGACCAGGGCTGTTCTAGTTAAAGACGCTGGCTATCACGCCTAGAATTTAGTGCCAGAAGGTACCTCTGGGACTATCTAGCCCAGCACTTCTCAAACTTTCTGGTCTCAGGACCCTTTTACACTTCCCAAAGAGCTTTTGTTTGTGCAGGTTCTATCTATCAATATTTACCATATCAGGAATTAAAACGTCCTGGCATTACGAAGTTTGGACCTCACTGACCATCTCAAAGGGCCTGGGAACTCTTGGGTGACCCTAAAACACTCTTTGAGAATTGCTGATCTAGTCCAAAGCTTTCATTTTACAGAGGAGGCAACTGAGGCTCAGAGAAGGGAAGTGACTTTCAGGTTACAAAGTAGCAGAACTAGGATTCAAAGTCAGATTTTGACTCCAAATTCAGTGCTGTTTCCATTCAACCATAAAAACTTCCATACATAGATCATCTATCTTCAAAATAATGCAGTAAAATATACACAAGACGAAAGCCATACTGAGCCTGCCTTCACATCACCCGCTCGGGTCAGACGACCTTTGAGGGCCCAGCAGAGCCACAGGGCTTTCACTGGACATCAGCTCTCACTGTGTGGACTGGGCATAGCACCATATTTAGACTCCCAAGTTGGATCATTTTAGCTCTACATATGTGACCATGGTCCTCTGGGCACCTCAGAAGAAAGCTGGCACACAGCGCAATGGACCTGGAGTAAGAAAGGCTCGAGTTCAAATCTGCCCTGAGATGTTACTAGTTGTTTGACCCCGACAAGTCACTTCACTTCTCCCTCAATTTCCTCAGCTATACAATGGGGATAATAAGAGCACCTAATTCTCAAGGTGTGAGGCTCAAATGAGATAGTTGTAAAGCGCTCTGCAAATCTCAAAGAACTATGTGTAAGTGCTAGCTATTATTTGCTCATCTATAAAATGGAGTTGGACTAGATAACCCTAAACGCAGCTCTAATTCTGAGAAGGTTTATCCAGAGGAGCCCTAGTGGAAACGTGCACAAAGCAATGGACTCACATTCAGTTTCAACATAAAATGTTTACTCTGTGTCCTCTGCACGTAAGCCGAAGGGGACACTGCATAGTACTGGTGTGTTGCCGTGACATCCCGTTCTCAGGGGGAGGCCAGGAAGCGGGAGGGGGGAAGGAGACACGAGAGGCTACAACCACGGCCTTTGGCTTGCTGAGGAAGTGCTGGGAAAGGGGATCCCCACCCCAGGCTGGCGCTCACAAAACTCAAGCAGACATGGAAGGGAGAAAACAACACAAGAAGAAATAATGCTATCAGACCCATGGGACAGTCTCACTTTGGGGTGAGGGGGATCAAGTAAGAACTTGTGCTCCCATCCTCCTGACTGGTGAAAAGCTTCAAGAGTGAGGAGGCTAACTCGGTGATATCCTAGAAGTCTGGAGCACTTTCCATCCTCACCTGAAACAGGCGCACCACCTAATCATTCCGTGGCTCTGAAAGGCCTTAAGATTTCCAGCTTAAACCCCAAGCACAGGGATCCTGGTGTCGTCATCTCCTGTGGACACAGCTGCCATTTACACGTCGGCTTCCTGCTCTGAGGGCAGTGAGGATACTGAGGATGAGACAGCTAAAAGGGGACACGACAAAGCTAGAGAGGAATTTCAAAATCCAGGCCTGACTTTCCACTATCACCAATAAGACTGATTAGCTTTTTCCCCTAATGTCCCCTTCAAGGTCCTGCCCACCATGCGGAGCTGCCTGGGGTATAAGGCCTAGGACAAGTAAGTTTCACTTCCTTACTTCTCCACATGCCTGTACAGACACATCCCCCTTATTTGGTTGATGAGAGGGATGAGGAGGAAGGAAAGCCTCATCAACATATCATTTCCTAGCAATTTTGGTTAAAATAACTGAACAATATGCAAGTGGTGGAGCAGAAAAAAAAACAGTCCTACTAGCAGCTGGCAGCTCCTGTTCTGACCCCAGGCTTCTCCTGAGGCAGCTCTGAAAAACCCAACCCCCACTCACTATGTTCTCCCTTTTCTCCTGCCGGGATAACTGGGTCACTGAACCCAGGCCGTCCTAAACCAATGGGGATCACGCAACTCGTCTGGAACGATGCTGGAGAAAATCTCTGACACGAGTGAGGAAGAGAACCGCTTGTGAGGTTAAGGGGTCTAGTGAACTTTCTCTTTCTTTCATACACACACACACACACACAGAGAAATGGCAGAAAGGACGCAGTTGGCCTTGCTACACACACCCACCCAGGCTCTTTGGCTCTCCTGCTTTTTGATTTAAAGCATAATCCCACAGGCCTCAATGTCCAATCTCTGCAACTGTATTTAAGAGATCAGGATGTTTTTTCTCTCTCCCTCCATGCCCTGATGATGCCTAGTGGTTACAAGTGGCCACCACCAGACTCCCTCTCTAAGGGATTGGTAAAATCCATTGAAAAGGAGAACCGTTTCCTCTGTAAACTCCAAATCCTTGAACAGTTAGCTGTTGTACAAGGGAACTACCCGGACAATCTCCTGTCTACAAATAGGGCACTTCTTTGGCTCGGGCAAGGCCTGGTAGCATTCGCTGCATGAACAGACGTGACCGCACTCAAGAAAGACACACGACTTGACATTGCTCAGACACACAACGCAGGCATTTTTTAAAGTCTCTCGGTCCTCGGCAGTGGCTGCCCCCAGGAGCTGGGCCTCGTGTAGCCGGAACTCCTCCTGCATCTGCTTCATCCGCTGCTGCTCTCGCCGGTGCAGGTACTGCCTGCGCAGGATGAAGAAGAGGGTGGCACAGGTGGCAAAGCCAAAGATGACTGTCAGGATTTTCCAGAGCTTGACGCTACACTCTTGCCTCTGCAGGAGGGTATCAAAATCCTGGCTGCTCAGGTAGTACTGTAGGCCCTGTTTGGGGGGCTGCAGACGGATGGAATTGTTGTCTAGAACCAGCTCCCCCACACCCGTGATGGTGGCCCCCACCTTGAGCATCTCCTCTGTCTCCTGGATGCCTTTGGGCCGCTCCCCACTGATGTAGTGACCAATCACATCAGTAAAGGACTGGATTGTAGGATGGAACTTCTCATACACCGTTTCTAAGCCGAGGTCAGCTGCGTCCAGGGGCTTCAGAACTCGGACCGCCACACCTGTGCCATCGGCATGGGGCACCAGGTCAAAGGGCACTGTATTTGTTCTCTGGTGGATGATTTTTTCACAGTCATTCCTGGAAGAGGAAAATAAAAACCTAAGACAGAGAGCTGAAAACATCAAACCCATAAGCAAAGGAGGACACTGAAAGTCAGCAGATGAATTTGTCAATTCCTGTTAGCACATGTTTGACTACGTGTGGCTCCCAAACTTTTTCAACCAATGGGCCACTTGGGGAGGGGAGAGGCAAAAGGCCCCAAGATGTTTCCTGTTCTCTTTGCCAGTTTTTTTAAAAATCTATCAGAATCCAATGGGAAAATATTTTCTCTCATACAAGGAAAGAGGCTTCTATTAAATATTTAAATTACCAATTTATGCCAGATAAGAATGTGTAGAAATAATACTACAAAATTTAGGGCAACAAGAGACAACACTAATAATAAGTGATTGAAGGGCAGCTAGGTGGCACAGAGGATAGAGCTCTGGCCTTGGAGTTAGGAGGACCTGAGTTCAAATCCAGCCTCAGACACTTGACACTTATTTAGCTGTGTGACCCTGGGCAACTCACTTAACCCCCACTGCCTCACCAAAAAGATTAAAAAAAAAAACTGAATGAAATGGGTGATTTGTTAGACTATAAAACCAAAAGATGGGATGCTCTCTAAACTAAACTATCTCTCCCCCAATGGCAAGCACTGTGGCCTGCACACAATAGGCACTTAATAAATGTTTGGGGGATTTGATTAAATTGCATAGACTGACACTGGCAAAAAACTGAGAGGAGGATTTCCTGACTCAAACTCTACTGTGGAGGAGGAAAAGATCTAAACTCCCTACTGTCCTCCTCCACTTTGGTATGAGGGCTTTTAGTCAAGGAATGGAGTTCTCGTCCGAGAATAGGGGCAGGGAGGAGGAAATGTGGAGGAAAAAGTGTCTGAGGATAAAAGGGAAGAAATAACCAGTGACATGATCTCACATTTCTATTGTGCTTTATGCTTCACAGAGCACCCTCCTCCCAAGTCTATGACGTAGGTAACAGAAGTATACTCATACTAGTACCTCGTTCATAGGGCTGCTGAGAGGAAAGCATTAGCAAACTTTAAATTGCTAGAGAAACAGCCCCCTGATGCCCTCGGGTGTCAAGGAAGCTGCCTGGCAGAGAGAGGGATGGGCTTAGATAACAAAAGACCTCCACTCAATGCTTCCCATGCTTGCTTAGGTGATGTTAAGTGAGGCAGGTAATATTATGTCTCACGAAATTCCCTAAAGTATTATCTACAAAGGCGCAGACCAGCTGCAATCTGGCTCAGAAGAGAGTTCTCAGGCTCAGAGTTCCTATGAAATGGATGCTTCACCTTCGCCTCTAAGCCTACCTTACACCTATTTTGTGTTTCCTACATACCCATACATGTAAACACTGTCTCTCTCCTAGAATGTAAACTGCTTGAGGGCAGGGACTACTCCCCCCTCCTCTAATCACCTAGCACAGTGCCTGAGCTTTTCATAAACGCAATGCTATCTGATATTCCTTCTTTAAAAAAACGATTTCCTTAAAGTCCAGGTCTAATCAGTTCTGCCCCCACTTCCGACTAAATAAACTCCAACCATGCCCTAATACCTGTAGGATCAAATTTGAACTCCTCTGTCTGGTGTCTAAAGCCCTTCCCACCTGGGCCTCTTTCTATCTCTCCAGCCTTCTTCCACATTACTCCCCTCCCAATCTTCCCCCCTGCCGTCCATCCCACTGACCAGCCTGCTGCCCTTCACATATGTCTCCAGCTCCCATCTGGATGTCTCTGAGCTGAATGTCTTCCTCACCTCCACCTCTTCAGAATCTCTGGCTCAGGTGCCACCATCTGTAGGAAGCCTCGTGCCTGGCCCCTGAGATTACCTTGGAACTACTCCGTGCACACCTACACAGGCACACACTGTCGCTACCATTAGAACACAGGTTCTTTGCATGTTTCTTCAAAACATGAATTATTTTTGCGCTTCCTTTATATTCCCAGTTCTTAGCACATTGACTGGCATACAGTGGTAGCTTAATAACTATTTACCAATAAAAATGAGGAAACTGAGATTCAGAGAGGTTAAATGGCAAACTTCTTGCCCAGTGTCACAGACCTCCTAAGTGTTGGCACTGGAAAAAGAGGCCAGACCTTCTGACCCTTGGGAGGCAGGTTTTTGGACCTCGGGTGGTAGAGGTTGTGTGGACCAGTAAACATTTCCTACAGAGGGATGACTGGGAAACCCTGGTTTAGGCAAGACAAACTGTCTATCTGCTTGAGTAATCAGTCACTACTTCTCTTTTCTTAGAGCTTCCCCATTTTACAAAGAGAGAAACCTGACATCATGAATCAAGACCCAGGAGTCCAGCAGGGGAAGAGACCATTAAAAAGCTCCTAAGCAACAGGAAAAAAAGTACACACCAGAGGTGGGTTGTTCGATTCCACACCATCTTGTGCTCCTGGAGGGTCAGTCTCTGAATCACTCCTTTGCAGTTTTCCACAAACTGGCTGTTAAGGGTTTCCTTAACAGAACGCACAGCTCCTGAAAGGGAAGAGAGATTCCTTAAGAACTGTCCTCCCATGGAAAGCTTCTGCACGAAAAAAAAATCAATTTCCCCATGAAATGGGGAGATCTATCTTTGCATCAACTCTCCCTGAAAAGGGTATAGAGGGAATTAACAAAAATATAGAATACCAAAAGCCATTCCCCAGTGGATCCGTGGTGAAAGAGAACGATATGAACACAGTCTTCAAAAGAAGAACTATAAACTATTAACAGCTATATGAAAAGCTGCTCCAAATCACGAATGATAGCAAAATACAAATCAAAATCCTACTCTCAGGAAACTGGCAAAGATGTCAAAAGATGGAAACAGTGTTAGAGAGGATGCCAGAAAACAGGCACTTTAATTCACCGTCGGTGCAGCCGTGAATGAGTAAAATCCTTCTGAAGATAATTTGGAATTATGCTAGCAAAGTGACCACAAAGTCCATACCCTCTGATCCAGGGATGGCACTGCCAGGCAGACACCCACAGAAAGGCAAAGACAAAGGGAAGATTCACATTCTGCAAAATAAACTATTCACAGCAGCACTTTTTTTTGTAGTAATAAAAACTAGAAACAAAGTAGGTGCCCATCAACTGGGGGACGGCTCTGCACAGGTGGAGGACAATGGGCAGACTACTGCATATGCTGGAAGAGGCAGCTGCCATGCTGGCTGGCTTTATGGAACCGCTTCTTAATCACTGTGAAAAAGGAATTGCGTGCTGGGGAAAGGAGAAGGGAGGGATATATGTGGAAATAGGAGTAACATAAAAACAAAAGGTATCAATAAAAATAGAATAAAAATACTCTCCTTATCTCTGAGTAAGTTCAAGTTTTTACTCACTTAGATGAAATTAACTTCACTTAGGCAATGGAAAAATCAATTGAGAATTTCCTTTGCAAAGCACAATTAAGTGCCAACTACACGCTAGGCACTGGGGCTCCCAAGACAAAAACACAACATTTAAGGAAGGAGGGGTAGGAGAGATACAGCCCGTATCCATGTTAATATGGGGGGGCAGGCGGTGACAACTACAGAAGGCTTCCTGGAGAAGAGAGGAACGTGAACTTTGAGGAGGATCAGGCTGCAAAGTGGCAGAGATGAGGAGGGAGTGCACCCCAGTGGGGGAAGGGGCCTGCACCCACCCTGGAGGACAGGGGACAGGTTCTCTGATCCTGTATGACGAGCCCAGCCCCTCACTAAGCCACCTCTTCTCCTGGCACCGCCTCCTCCTCCTCCACCTTTCTCCCTCCCACTAAACCCAAGCCATCAACGAACCATACCCTCAATGACAGCGTAAGGCACACACTTCCCAGGAGCGTCACTAAGAATACTCTTCAAATCTTCACCCAAGTGAATTTTTTTGGCTCCCTAGGGAGAAAAAAAAATTAAACGATCAATGTTACCTATGTTGTGACATATTCTATCAAACCCACTAATATCCAGAGAAGAAATGATAAATGTGGGTGAACTGGACAAGAGAAAGCTTATGTTTCTATTTCAATCTAGAAGGGAGTGGTTGGGAACCCTCAAACAGCAATTATAGAAAGTACCATTCAAAAATGGGAACAGGGTGACACCTCATTATCAGGCAGCATTGTTGAAAATACAACTAAGAATATTTTCTATAGAAATTAAGTACCTTCAAGAGTGAAAACTTTAAAAATCTTATCCATTTCTGTGTGAATCTTTCTAAACTATATCACATTCTCCCCAGCCACCTAACCTTTTCCTAACAATTCAGTCACCTTTATGAACATCCACTACTTTGCTGTGCCACAGTGGTGCCCTCAGGTGCCAGCGCAGGGGTACAGTTACTTGAGTGCTCTCTCTTAGAAAATTTTCCAAGAGCACTTCATGTCTGCTTTGCCATAACACTGCACAGGTTACTTTAAATGTATTTGTGTGCAGATCACAGCCACCACCAACACCACCCCCCCATTAGACTTCAATAACCCTGAGGGCAGACTCTATCCATTTTCATCTCTAGCTCTCTCCCTCAATCACAGTGCCCTCCACATATCAGGCATTTAACAAATGTTTTCTAAAATTGAATTGAATTGTCTCTACACACAACAGTCCCAGACCACTGAATTTTGCGAGTTCTTATAGGTGTCCCTTATTTGCTGCTGTAAGAGACATGCACAAAATAATAAAATCAAGACGGCTATGAAGTTCTCCTTTGAATAGAAGGCATGAGCTTTAGTACATGAACTTTTTAGCTGCTCAGAGACCTTTTTTGCTTCCTTCCTGCTAGGGAGTTCAGTGGCAAAGTGGCTAGAGCAGTGGGTCTAGAGTCGGGAAGATATGAATTCAAAACCAGTCTCAGACACTTACTAGCAGTGTGACCCTGAGCAAGTCAATTAGCATATGTCTGCCTCAGTTTCCTCAACCATAATATGGGGATAATAACACCGACATCCCAGAACTGTTGTGAGGATCAAATGAGAAAATAATTGTAAAGCATTTAGTGTAGTGACTGGCACATATTAGGCACTATATAAATGTTTATTCCATTCTCCCTTCCTTTCCCATTGTTTCAGATAACTGAGGTGGCCAAATAACAGATTCCCAGGTATATGAGGTTTTTAGGTGACATCTTATATTATGACCACCTTCCATTTAAGTGGCTTCTACAACCAGTCTCAGAAACAAGCACCATAACAGGCATAGCAAAGAAAAAGACATGATTCCTCTTTTGGAAGAGGCAACATCACTAGAACATTGGACTTGGAATACAGTCAAAACTGAGAATTGGGTTTGAATCCAGACTTACTAGTTGTGTGACCTTGGGCAAATCACTTTGCAGCTCTGGGCCTCAATTTCCTCATCTGTAAAATGGGAGTAATTACACTTCCACCTCACAGGATTGTGAGGAACACTTTGTAAGCCTTAAAGTGCTAAATAAATTTGAGGGGTTTTCATTGCTATTAGAACAGCTGATAAACTAGATGAGGAAATAAAGATGTACTACACTAGGGGCCCCCAACCTACAGTACAACCCTCTTTTTATAGATGAGAAAACTGAGGCTGGGAGACCTTAAGTGACTTGCCCAGGCACAGTTTGAATTCAAGTCTTCCTGACTCCAAGTCCAGAAGTCCACCCTATGCATTCCTTTACTGTACTTCTGATAAAATGTTGGAAAGGCAAGAAGGCCCCAGGATGGGAGACTCGGAATGTCAGGCAAAGGAGTCTGAATGTTATGTGGCAAATAAGAAGCCACTGAAGGACTCTGAGCAGAAGGGTGACGTGAACAAACTTACGCAGATACACATTGCTTGAGAATATTCTTATCCACCCTTGTATCTGCCCCAGCAACTAGGGCACTCTACACCATGTGTCAGGAGGGACTTGAACCCAGATCTCCCCAACTCCACGACTAGCTCTTTACCCATTAGGCCAGGACCATCTGTACCATCAGAGGGAAGTCTTTGCTGATGTTTCATACAATGATCCTGACTTTTAAAAAAATCAAACAATGACTGGTGTTTCAAACTCCTTTGCTGGGCATTTGAGTCCTCCCATAAGTTGTATGTAATGGAAAGGGCAATAAATATGAAATCTGATCAGCTGCAAAATCAAATCCCTGTTCTGACACTTGCTGCTGAATAAAATTGGACAAGCCACTTTCTCTGGGAATCAGTGCTCTACAGTGAAACAAGGGATTTGGACCAGAGCTCCGAGGTGTCTTCTAGATCTAAACCTACAATTACTTCCCCACTAAAGCATTTCTTTTCTTTACTCCAGGCCATGCTTTCTTCACCCCCTAAAATTCTCCATACTCCTCATTTCTGTTCAGGCTGCCCCCTGCCCAGATTTTTCTTCCTTCTTCCTCTTCCTAAGAAATTCCTATCCACCCTCTAATCCAAATTTTAATGTCACTTCCTCCATAAAGCCTTCCCTGATTCTCCCCCATCATAAGGACTTTGCCCTTTGACTTCACATAGCACTTCATTTTTACTCCTGTAACGTATCAATTTACTTTTCCCCTGAATCATTTCAATTTGTTTTGTAGGAGAAAAGACACAACAACAAAAGCAAGAGGAACAAATTATATCTTAGCAAAGACTCTAAAATGACAGCTGGACTGCCTACACTTCCTTACTGATGCTTACTGATATCTATCACAGTCATTTCTGGAAGTCCACCACTCCAAAATGAACCCCTCTCTCTGGCAAAAAAATTTATCCCATAATGTTGTGTATTATGGCTTTCTATCTTAAGTCCTGACTAGACTGTAGCTACTTGGGAAGGACCGTGTGCATCTAAACTCTGTAAATCCTTCTGCCCTAAGAACACAAATATAGTAAGTATTTAATTGCATTCCTCAAGTATGTCTAGTGCAAATGATTAATGCTCTTGACGTAATCTTAGGGGAAAAATTTTTTAAGGTTTTCCTTCTTTATTCCTCCTATATATAAGAATAAAGTTGTATGTATTCTCCTTAGGTTCAGGAGATAGCCCTGGCTGATGATAAAACCAGGTTTGAAAAGGGTTTGGAGACACTCCCGAATTTCGGCTTTATGCCATGGCTCTTCTTACAGCAAAGACTTAACAGAATCTTACAACTGGAAGGTCCACAACTCAAAGGTCACAAAGACCAAACCCTACTGTGAAGAATACCTGTCACCCTATCCCCAACAAGTAGCTATACAGACTTAGCTTGAGAACCTCCAGGGATGGAGAGCTCTCATTGTTAGCAAATTTCTCCTTAAAGGGAACCATAATCTGCCTCCCAGAAATTTCTGCCCATTGTCTATGGTTTCTGCCCAGAGGACCAAGGGGGTGAAATCCCATTCCTACGTATCCCTTCTAATACCTAAAGACAGTTATGATGCCCTCCCTCCAAGTTTTCTCTTCTCTAGGCTACATATCATTAAACCATCAACTGGCCGTGACTTTGACTTCCTTCCACATCCTGGGTGGCTGTTTGTCAACTTCCTTCCCAAAAGGTGGCACGTAGAACTGAACACAAAACTTCAGTGGCCCAACTACAGGGAACAATGGAATTATCATGTCCCTATCAATCAATCAATACGTATTAAGTGCCTACTATGGGGACACAAAAAGGGGCAAGAGACAGATATAGATGGGGGGAGGGGGAGAGATAGACAGGCACAGGGACAGAGAGAGAAAAACTAGGTAAGACAGAAGAATAGAGAAAGAGAAAGGTAAGTAGACAGATACAGATGGATAGATAGGCTAGGATAGATATATACAGAGATAAATAGATACAAATGTTGAATAGATATATGGATGAATAGATAAACAGATATAGACAGATACAGATGGACGGCTAGGATAGACAGGTAGATATAGATGAACGATGGATAGATATTGATGGATAAACTGATGCACAGCTAGAAGGATATAGATATGTAGATGGCTATAGACCGATAGATAGGATACAGAGGTAGATACAGACGAATGATGGACAGGCATAGATGGATGGATGTATAGGGAGATAGACATCTCTGCTCCCGCCTCTCTTAATGCAGCCTAAAAATCAAAGTCGTTTTCGTTGATTCAAATTGGGCTTGTGGTCCACTAAGCCCCCCAGATCTCGACGGTAACAGAAGTGGACGGGGAGGAAGGAGAGGACGCCTCGGGACCGGGCCAGGTCTTAGGTCCTGGGCGGGCCTCAGGCACTTTGGACTGTTTGTTTCGGGGAGGGAAGAGGGATGCGAGGCAGGGGGGCGGAGCCTGGAGTCTGGGGACTCCGACGAGGCTGTGGTGGTCTGGGGTCAGGGGCCACGTGTGGCCCGGGGTCCGAGTCCGGGTCCGCGGTGCGCACCGACTGACCTTGAGCTCGCGGGCTGCCTGGACCTTGTGCCGGTACACAGAGTACAGGGCGGCGGCCACGGCCGAGCTGGCGCCCAGCAAGATGAGCTGGGCCGCCGAGGGCCGCCCGCCGGTGTCCATGGCGCCTCCTCCGCGGCCTCCGCCGGCCCAACGCCGCCGCCCTCAGCCCGCGCCGGAACCATAGAGACGCGCCGCCGCCGGCGGCCAGAAAGGCCGGAAGGGGATGAGCCGGGAAGGAGAGACTGGAAGGGGAGAGACCGGAAGGGGAGAGAACGGTCTCCTTCCCCCGGCGCTCCGGCACCCAGACTTTAGTGTCCGCGGTGGGACTGAGGTGGCCACCTCCCTCCCTCCCAGTTACCTCCGTGCACCTGCCCCCAACTTCTCCCCTGCAGCATTCTCTCTCTCTCTGTCTCCTCTCTCTCTGTGTCTCTCTTCTCTCTCCTCTCTGTGTCTCTCTCCTCTCTGTGTCTCTTCTCTCTCTCCCTCCTCTCTGTGTCTCTCTGTCTCTGTCTCTCTTCTCTCTGTCTCCTCTCTCTTTCTCTGTCTCTCTTCTCTGTCTTTCTCTCTGTCTCTCTTCTCTGTCTCTGTCTCTCTCTGTTTCTGTCTCTCTCTGTGTCTCTGTTTCTCTCTCCATGTATATCTGTATGTATGTATATACACACACATATTCACCACAACACAGAATTATGGAGGTAAAAACCTAGGTTTTCTTATTATGCTCAAGCATAAGTTCAGGCCTCAGAGAAAACCTGATCATTAGGATTCTAACAAGGCTTCTTATAGGCAAAATTATGTCAGTGACAGGGAAATAATTATTCTACATGTTGCAATCTTGTACATTACTCTTAGGCCATGAAAGTTAGAGAAGATAGATCCATAATCTCATCCGTCCTTCAATGTCAAAAGTTGAACAAACTTAAACAGTCATGATGTCACACAGTCCCTAAGGAAATAAACTTCAGATAAACTCTGTGGGCAAACAAAGTCAGGTTACAGATTAAACTGAATTTAGAGGGTTCATAAATAGGCTGCGTGAGAAGGATTTATGGGTCACCAGAGACACTTGAGATTCTTTCTCTGGTTTCTTATCTAAGGAATGGTTAAGACTCAAGTAGATGTTTACATCCCATGGGACAGGTTTTGATCAATTAAGGTTAATATTAACCAAAAGTTGCAGGAAGAACAAAAAGAAAAAATTCCCAAAAGAGGAGTAGGGTGTAAGAAGACTGTAAAAAATAGGAGGGGGAGGGCTAGGTTATGAAGAGCTTTGAAGATGTATCTCAGAGTCTATCTGACTGAGAGCTCCCTGAGAGCAGGAATTGTGTCATGATAAAGAAGATGGGGAGCCTTCTTCCTCAGACTGGGGGTCCCCTGGGAGTAGGCATTGTATATCTCCTACCAGTTTGGAGATGCCCCTAAAGTCAGGCGCTGTGTCTTCCCCCACTGCTCCCTCAAAACTAGGACAGTTTTCCTTAATATCCAAGACGTCTTCCAACTCTAACTTTATCTGAGTCTATAAAATGGCAGAAATCAAATTAGCTAATATTTGTAAAGAAAGCATTTTGGAAACCTTGGCTTTATCATCATCATCATCATCATTATTATTATTATAGAAAGAGGGATTGGAGGGCAATAATAAATCAAACAGAAGGATCACACCTGGAAATTAGGCTCACAGTGACTTTCTTTCCTGATGCTTTGGGCCACTAGGGGGCAGGAGCAGCACAGGGATGCTGAGATCAGCCACACCTGGGGAAGATGTGGGTTGAGGTCTGAACAAGAAGAGAGAGATTGTTAAGGAAAGGCCTCTGATGCCAGATTCGTTCCATCCTCTCATCCTTCTGGTTTCTGGGCCCTCTTTGGCCCCTGCTTTGCCATATGACCAATCAACATTAATCGCTTCACCTCCTAGTGCCTACAGGATCATAGGCTGAAGGCTAGAAGGGGTCTTAAAAGACCAACCAGTCCGATAGCCTTCATCTTACAGATAAGGAAATGGAGGCTTAGAGAATTTAAGCAATTTACCTAAGATTCGAATAATGCCAGTGCTAAGCTCCATTGTACTACTCTGCCTCTCCATCTATTCTGACTCCTTCATTTTACAAAGGAGGAAACTAGAGCACAGAGAGGGTCAGTGACTTGGCCAAAGTCACAAAACTGGTCAATACAACACAGGAAATCAACTCCAAATTTCCTGATTGCCAGTCGAGGACTCTCCTCTGTGCCCAGCTCTGGAAAGCAACCAAGGCTTTTGATGGAAGAAGATAGTGGAAAGGTTCAAATGGCAAGAAAGTGAGTTAGCCCTAGACCTGGTGTTAGGAAGCTTTGCTTCTTATCCCATTGGACTTTCTTTATAACATACAGGTATGAGTCTACAAGCCTTTGGGCTCTCTAAGTTCTTGATCCCGGACCACATTTTCCACCCCAGTTCTCACTGTCCCCCCTTGTGACCATCTTTGCACTGAAATCACTGGACATATAGATAAAAGTTGAATTAATTTGAAACATTTTGTCAAATTCATAATAAAATTTCTCAACAGCTGAATTTGGCTTGTTTCCCCATCACCAGGATTTCCTTGGGAATATCATGTCTATGTCTTGACAGTAAGATAGATAGTCATACATACATACATACATACATAGGTGAATAAATAAATGAATTAAAAGATAATTAAATGGAAAAGGAAAAGAAAATTACTCTCAGCTCACTCAGGCTAGCAAAACATTAAATATATATCAGGCTTTATCTAACCTGACAAAAATTTGCAAAGAACTCACAAGTCCACTGAAAGTCAAGATCACTCTCCTTCCTTCTCCAGAAGAATTCTGCCTTCTAAGGACCTGTAAAATACTTCCCTGGGTAGTGGGTAGGATCTCCCACTAAGAGAATTGATCTTCCTCACCCCAGGACCTACACTGAACACATTACTCACAGTACTAACGAAGGGCAAAGTTGAGGCTCATTCCTCCACTTCATGGCTTGACCCTTAACTGCTCCCAATTGTTATAGGAACACTATCACTTGGTCCTCTTCTCATTCCCTAGAGGAGCCAGATGTTTCCCCTTAGGAACTGCATTATGGACAAATCTTCCTTCAAGAAATTGAGTCTGAGTCTGGGTGGGGAACATCACCTCTCTAGGTTTCTCTATTTTCCTTCTCTCCTGTCATTGGAGGTTATATGTAGCCCTCTTTCAAACATTAAACCCAGGGATGTAGCTTTGGTATAGGAACTATACCAGATATAGGAACTAAATCTGAATCATCAATCATCCTCAAGATGGTATCAACAAGACAAGTATCCATTATAAAACAATTGTTCGTCATATAACAGAGACATCAGGCAATCAACAATCATTTAATAAAATCTTACTACAGGCCAAGCACTGTGCTAAGCATTGGAAATAAAAAAAAAAAGCAGAAAGACAATCCTTGCCCTCGGGGAGCTTATATTCTAATGGAGATATAAAATGCATACTCCAAAAAGACATCACTATGTCAGGATCCAGGTACAGTGTGTCCAACTGTGGCTGATCAGACCAATACAAGCTTGGAAGGCTCTACCACAGGCTGGGCATATATAGTCCATATGAATGTTTGGGGTGGAGGGACATGTTTCTAAATTTGTGTATCTCACATTTCTTTTGAGCTACTGCAATTCTGCTTTGCTCAGAGAGCACAGTGCCTTCTTTGATGTGGGCATGTCATACTGAGTAGTCTTATACCAGCATCTTCCATGTGTCACAATCAAGTTCTTCAGAGAGATGTATATCATTTCTTCTGACCTCTGTGTAAGCACTTGCTTTGTGTGAGTTCTCCTTAAAAGTCTTTTAGGCAAACACATTTGGCATTCAACAATGTGGCCAGCCCATCAGAACTTCGCTCTCTGCAGTAGAATGTTTGAATGTGCAGCAGTTCAGCTCAAGAAAGGACCTCAGTGTCCAGTACCTTATCTTGCCAGGTGATCTTCAGAATCTTCCTAAGACAATTCAAATGGAAGAGATTCAGTTTTCTGGCATGGCACTGGTATATTGTCCAGGTTTCACAGGCATACGACAATGAGGTCAGCACAATAGCTCTGTAGACCTTCAGTTTGGTAGGCAGCCTAATACTTCTCTCCCACACTTTCCTTTAGAGCCTCCCAAACATTGAGCTAGCTCTGGCAATGCATGCATCAACCTCATCATCTAAGTATACATCCCTGGAAAGTATACTCACAAGGTAAGTGAACTTATCCACAGCATGCAAAACTCAATTTCCTGTAACTGATGGTTCCCCATAGGGATAGTGTGGTGCTGTCTGGTAGAGAATGTCTGTTTTCTTGGTGCTAATTGTCAGGCCAAAGTTAGCACAAGTGGCAGAGAATCATTCCATACTCTACAGAACTTTTGAGGCAGGTAAAAATGGTAAAATGGTATGGGTGATATCTTTTGACTCAAGCAAAAATTGTATTGAAGTGAGGCAGGGTTGCTCAAAGTCTTCAGCCTCACTCTCTCCTCTACAGTCATCAAAGTCCAGGGTGAAGACAAAGGTCAAGACAACCAGCGATGGCTCAGGATTCATGGATGACTTTGGTATCTTCAATGTCTGACCAAGCTCTAAGTGCTCCACAGAACCTGCTTCAGCCACCCCCATGGCTATTAGAACAAACTGTTCTCATTTGCCCATTCCACTGGGAGAAATCTTCACATGCTTGAAGTAGATAATCCCCCTAACTCACCAACAGGTTTGAGGTCTGTCGGTTATCCTCAACCTGGTTTAGCCTGTCCACCAAAATAGTTTACCAGGGTGTGGCCACTGTGAGTGGTTCAGCTTCTTGAAGCCAGGTGACCAGTTGGACACTAACCGGGGAAAGCAGCTCTGAAAAGGGTTCAGCATCCCTCACACCAGAGGTACTAGTCTTCCCAGGATGCCCACATAACCCTCTGCAACAGATATTGATACATAAGCTATGGTTATTACTGATAAGTAAAAAGTAGCTGACGACTTCATTTCCTACAAATACTTAGAACAAAGATAGAGGTCTTCTGGTCTACACATGAGTACATAGCATGCTGATGTCACCAGGCAAGGATTCTGATCAATTGGGAATGAATTACAAAGTAAGAGGCTTAAAATATGG